ACTACAGAAAAATTCTGCGGTGTTGAGTTTTCATTTACATGGCGCTTTGGTAAAGGCTCTGTTATGCATACTTGGCATTGCATGCACTGCTATACCATTTTTACGTAGAAATCAAAAACCAACAGACTTTTACGTATGTAATGCTGTGCGTTGGGTAACCGCTTACACGCGAAGCTCATTTAACAGATTCCTTATGTGACAACGCTCAAGCAATGCCAAGTATGCATAACGGAGCCTTAAGACAGATCGTGTCAGCTGACTCGGGTTTACGTACCGGTAGGTTTACGTTCTTGACTAATTTCAGCTTTATTACTCAGTCATAACAATAACCGCCCTATTCCCACACCCTGACAAAACTCAGCGGCTGACTATTGCCTTTACTACTGCGCCTAATACTATGCCACAAATTTATTTTAAGCTGTCGTATGGCAATTGTCAGTTTTATTGTTATGACCTACTGGGTAAGTGACAACGGCGGAACAATGTTTATATTGTGTTTTAGGCGCAGTAATTGTGACAATAGTCGTATGATGAATTTTGTCAGTGGTGTGGGAATAGGGCGGTAAAACTGACAATTGTCATACGACGGCTTAAAATAGGCAATAGTCAGCCGCTGAGTTTTGTCAGTGGTGTGGGAATTGGGAGGTTAGTCGAAATTCAGTGAAGTAGGAATTTAATATTATGGCATATATCGATAAATAGATGCTACTTTCGATAATTAGCTAAAAATTCCATCTCTTTTACTTTTCTAATCAGCTGGGCAGTTCTCTTATCTGCTGTCATTGCTGTATTTGTTTTGGACATTTATTTTTAGGCGGAAGGCATACAAAATTAGTATTTTGATGTAAAAATGAATACCATTTATAAATTAGTCAAAACGTTTAAATACTTTCATCGATATGCCAGTAGTATATCCAATCCATTGACTGATTGCACTATCTTCAGCTTAAGTTCAGGTAAGTTGTACACTCCCTCTTGCACTTAACAGTAACATCTTAATTGGGAAATGTTGAGTTATTTGCCCACTGTTTTTGTGTTAGGGGCGGAGGGGATTGGGCATGGGTCTTGATATCCAACCCACTAGAAACAGCAAAGTTCACACTTTGTAAAAAGTCACACCTGACCCCTCGAAACCTTCCACAGACCGTTGGAGAGCCATTGGAAAAAATAACCCTCATCAGTCCAACTGCGACTACGCTGAATATAACCTTTACTAGTTAGAGTTATCCCCTCCACAGTATATTTGCGTAGAACTCATTCCGAAATTCACAAAAAAGTAATATTTTCCCATGATAAAAAATCATGTATTTTCCGATCTAATTTATTAACAAATTAGTGACCGAAAATAATTTTTTGGATCGGGTCACCCATTCGGACACAATAGCCCGAAATCATTGGGCAAATAACTAAACCGTACCCTTTTAATTCTGTAAGTCAACAATTGACTTTATCAACACATTTTTTAAACACCCAGGCTACGGCAAGTGTGGAGTCTCTGTTATACGCGTGTCAGGGCCGCGCACTAAGTATGCACTCCAAACTCTTGTTGGTTTGCGTCATGAGCTAAAACCGCGTTATGCTTACCTTAAGTCCATCTATCATCCAGAAAATAAAGAACTAATTGACAA